GGCTGGGCACAATGGTTCAACAACATGAGGAGAGCAAACCTCTTTATTCCTACACTTGCCACAGTAGATGGTACCATACAGTTTGACATGTCATGGTTCGGCGTATTTCCTGAAGATACTGGAAACAACGCCAACAACGACAACCCTCCTGCGAGGTCACTGGTCGCCTGGGAGAACAATTTTGGAGCGCGACCGACTCGCAGTTCTCACTCCGTTGCAAGACGGGTCGGTATGTGTCGGGACCATCGTCTTATAGTTCCCGCGCTGCGACATGCCTCCGGCTCAGCCGCGAGGGCACGTGAACAGACACAAATGGATTTGGACCTCAAAATGATCAGCGGGCCTAAGGCTGCATCGATAACTGATGGACTCCTCACACTTGATGAACCTGAGGGACACGTATACTTTCATCATGAGGACCATCTGATTAAAATAAGATTGTTCGGGGACGAAGTTCGAGAAGTTGCCGCTCGTTACATGATTGAACACACGGGAATAAACCCTACTACACCCGGCAGGGTTACCCTGACTGGAACGGCAGACTATGCGACCCCGGCGATCATCAAGACAATAGTGGATGACAATTGGTTAGTACCAACACAAAACATGGAACTGGGCCTTAGGCCCATAAGGATTTTCGCAATTATTCGTGAGATAATCAGCTATTTCATATCGGAGGACCACTTCATTGGTTACCCGGGGCGAATCATTCGCCCCGAAATGATGAGCACGGATCAAACCGAATCAAAGAAACGGACCGACGCATATGCCTTGGACTGCCGAATTCGTGCGGCTGTTGAGACTGACGACATTATAGAAACATGGGCCCACAAGATGGGCAGGAAAGTGCAGAATGACGTCCGTCGCCATGGTGCTATAATACAGGAGGCCCTAACTTGGCTACAGGATAAGTATCCTGACCCCGGTACCGATCTTCAGGACAAGGAAGATGGTCCGTTCCGCACTGCATGCGGACTATATGGTGTCGCTGCGGCAACTGCTGCCAGAAGTATATTGCAATTTATGAACGGCAGGGATAATGATCCTGAGCACGACGGCGAAGCCGAGATCGTGGGGCCACGTGTGCCTGCTGGACCAAAGGCAAGACTTTTGTCTCGCACGCCGTCTCTTCGACCTGGCATCTCAGATGCTCAGGCGTCTGATGAGGCTACTGGTTCCCCACGTTCTGTCGCCGGCTCAGCCGTGCCGACCAGAGAAGCTAACCTACAAGATCCCAACACGAGGGATCGGTCGGATTTGCGACGCGCGCGCGACAGCCATGGATGATGCCTCTGTCGCGGCCGCCGATGATGCCGCCGGCCTTGTGCTGCCCGCGGCGGTGGACGCCGCCACGGGCGCTGCCTCGGATGCTGCCAGCAGCGCCGCAGAACACGGCTCCACATACGACCCTGACCAGTCCTACCCGACCCACGTGAATGGAATCCTTGTTGGATATCACCTTCATCGGAACAGGATCACGTGGCTTAATAACGATGAATGGTACAATTTGCCTTACTGAACCTGGCTGTCAAAGTGGGAGCATGATCATCATTTCCCGCCGAGAGAGGCGGCACAAGTTGGAAATACTGACAGAGAGAGAGGGCGGTCTCGCACGCCTCGTGGTATGGACGTACAGACGGGAGGATCGGCGACTTCAAACCCGCCGCCTCCGGCGCCGCCCAGGCGAGAGAGTTCGTGGAATCCGTGGGGGGACCTCAACTGAGTGCGGCCCGCGTGACTCCGTCTGCGGCGTGTGCACACCAAACACTTTACCCACACGCTAAGCGTGCTGGGCGCGGACCTCTCTACTGGTCGGCTAAGCCGGTCCAGCGGAGAGAAACTATTTATAACTATGGTGGGAAACGTCGAGCCTCTTCGGCCCTTGGCCCCCTGGCAGCCACCGTTGAGCCGTAAAAGTTTTTTCGGGTTGGCTCCGGTGGTTGTACAAATGTACAGGCCGGGGGTGCTGTGGCTGGATGGGCTCTACGCGACCCGCCGCGGGGGGAGTTCGCCGGCCCAACGGGCCAGGGCGTGCTAAGATCTCCGGTACCTGGTTAACAGTATTTCTAGTTCGCGCGCGCGGGGCGGTCCCTGGGGGTCCCCGGACGAAAAGTACCCCGGCAAGGTCCCGGCAAGTCCCCGGCAAGGTCCCGGCAAGTCCCCGGCAAGGTCGGGCCAGAGATGCCGGAGCCCTGTTACAGGGCCCCAGGACGGGCCAAGAGGTCCCCAAGAAGCCTCCAAGACGGTCCAAGAGGGCCCCGAGACGGCCAAAGATCGCCCGAAGACGCCCAACAGGGCCCCAAGACAGCCCAAGAGGCCTCCAAGACGCCCCAAGGGCCTTCCAAGAGGCCTCCGAAGAGGGCCCCAAGAGGCCAAAATCGTTGATTTTCATTGTTTTTTTCTATGTTTTTTGCGTTCTGGCTTTTTCGGCTTCCGGACGCTCCAAGACGGCCCAAGAAAGACCGCTCCAAGACGGCCGGCCCCGGAACGGCCCAGGAGGGCCCCCAAGACGGCCCAAGTGCCGCCCAAGACGGACCAAGAGGCCCCAAGACGGGCCCAAGAGGGGCTCAAGAGGAGAACCGAGAACTGAAAAATCGAGCCCTCCGCCCCAGAAGGCGCCCAGGGAGGCCCCAAAAAGGCCCCAAGAGGCCCCCAAGAGGCCCCCAAGACGCCCCAAGAGGCGCCCAAGAGGCCCAAAAGAGGCCCCAAGAGGCCCAAAAACGGCCCCCAAGAGGCCCCAAAACTCGGCTAGCCCACAACGGTGCGACAATATGGGCCGGCGGAATGAGCGAAGCGATTAAATAAATATGCTCCTCTCCGCCTCATACTCAATTAGAACATAACTTAGATTGCATGCAATGAACTGTCCGCGTGAACTGAAGCTGCGTTTCTGCAGCTGTATAACTGCTCAAACCAGTCGACCTCGGCTGGCAGGAGAGAAAAAGGAGCGCGCTGGGGCGCGCGGGCGATTCGTCGTCGTCCGTCCTCGGCCTTCCTCCTCCCTTCCTAGTCCTGATAGAGTGGTTTCGCTTATCGGATATCTGTCTTGTCAATGTCTCATCCCGCCTCCGCTCTCCCTGAGCAGAGTGAACATGAGATCTTAATTCCTTTGTCATATTACCCCGATTCTCAGAGGAAAGACTAGCATAGCATAGCACATCATAGCATATCATAGCATAGCTTAGCATAACACAACGCAGCATGGCATAGCATAGCTTAGCGTAGCATAGCATAGTATAGCATAGCGCAGCATATCATAGCATAGCATAGCATAGCGCAGCATAGCATGGCATAGCATAGCATAGCATAACAATTAATGCTGTGTTCCTAGGAGCTCCAACTTCTAGGTAGGGTCGCACTGGGGTAATTGTAGTACTACTCGTCGTATTCATGTTCCGATTAGTCTGCGTGATGGTATTATTCGCATTCGCACTAATACTAGCATTATTAATTTTCCTCCTCCTCCGTGTCCTCCTCCTCCTCCTCCTCCTCCTCTTCCTTCTCCTCCTCCTCCTCCTCCTCGTCCTCCTCCGCCTCCGCCTCCTCCTCTTCCCCCTCCTCTTCCTCCTCCTTCCCCCCCCACCTCCTCCTCCTCCTCCTCCTCCTCCTCCTCCTCCTCCTCCTCCTCCTCCTCCTCATACTCCTCATACTCCTCCTCCTCCTATTCCGCCTCCTCCTCCTCCTCCTCCTCCTCCTCTTCCTCCTCCTCGTCCTCAGCCGTTCTGGTTCAGGCTGTTGCGGCCTGGGCTTGCAAGCGCGTGCTTCAGAGCGGCTCGCGCTTGCGGGCCAACCGATTGATTATTTCACGAGGCCTGGAGGGCCAACTCATCAGTGCGGCGGGGGGTCCCGCGGTGGATGGCGCCTCCCGATGGCCAGGTGTTGCTTGGGCCGCGCACGCCCCACTGGGGCTGCTCCTGGGGCTGTGCAGACAATTGGGCGTCGAGGGTTGCATGCCGCCTATGTGGTCGCCCAGCCGCGCAGAAGCACATCCAGGCGGCACGCCAGGCTGCGTCAAGGGCCAAGTCTGCGTCGCGGCCGTCAGGTCCAGGACCCAAGCAGCCCCTTGGGCATTGGGCGAACGGTCCGCCAGGGAGTGCCAACTCGAAGTTGCTCAAGCAGCTCCAAGACTTGCAGCAGCAGGTCGCGAAGCTCACTGGGGGCTTCCGGCCCGAATCAGGGGCTGCGCCGCCGTGGGCTGCTGGAGGTGGCGGAGGCAAGGGCTGCGCGAACACATCATCCACGTCTGGGCAGGAGGTGCTCGCCTACCGCAAGAAGCTCGGGGTCGACAGCTCGGCCATCGTGGCAGTCGGGGAGGCGGAGAAGAAGGCCACGGAGGCAGGGAAGAAGACGGCCCCCACAGCGCAGTCTGCGCGCTGGTGGCCTTAGCCTCGCCGAGCGCAGGGTCTTGGCTCGGACGCTGGAAGAGGATGGCCAGGCCCCAGAGCGGTTCAGGTCCCTCCCCGTGCGGCTTCGCGGGGGGGGGGGTCGCCCCGCGAGAGCAGGTTTGGGATTCGTTCGGCCTAGTTGAGTCGGATCTACCCTGGGTCAAGGACCTAGGGGCCGCCTCCCTCCGAGCCTCGCGCAACGACGTCGAGTCGCACTCGGAGGCCTCCGACTTCGGCTGACCGTCGGTGAATTCCTGGCTTCAGGCCCGTCCCCAACAACCTCGTCCTCGCCCTCGTCCTCGTCCTCCTCCTCCTCCTCATCCTCCTCCTCCTCCTCCTCCTCCTCCGCCTCCTCGTCCTCCTCCTCCTCCTCCTCCGCCTCCTCTTCCTCCGCCTCCTCCTCCTCATCCTCCTCCTTCTCCTCCTCATCCTCCTCCATCTCTTCGTCCCCCTCCTCCTCCTCCTCCGCTTCCTCCTCCTCCTCCTCCTCCTGCTCCTGCTCCTGCTCCTGCTCCTGCCCCTGCTCCTGCGCCTGCTCCTGCTCCTATTCCTACTCCTCCTCCGCCCAGGGGGTCGGCGCGGCGGGCGGTGCGGGGGCGGCGCGGCGCGGCCGTCCAGGAAGATGCGCCCGTCGCGGTCGCGGGGAGCGCTGGCGCGGCCCGTCAGCAGCCTGCGGCGCCCCGCACGATGGAGCGCAGGGAGGGAGGGAGGGAGGGGAGGGAGGGAGGGTGGGAGTGAGGAGGAGGAGGAGGAGGAGGAGAGAATGAGGAGGGGGAGATGGGGGGATGGGGGGGACGCGAGGGGGGCGGCCTTCTCAGAAGGCAAGGGGCGGAAGAGGAGGAGGAAGAGGAGGAGGAGCAGGAGGAGGAGGAGGAGGAGGGCGGCGGCGCAGTGCAGACGACGGCGACGAGGCGGGAGCAATGACTGAAGAGAGGTGGAGGAGAAAGGATGAGGAGGGGAGGTGGAGCAGCAGCAGCGGGACGAGGAGGAGGAGGAGGAGGAGGAGAGGAGGAGAGGGGGAGAAGGAGGGACGGGGGGGGAGGAGGGAGGAGGAGGAGGAGGAGGAGGAGGAGGAGGAGGAGGAGGAGGAGGAGGAGGGCGGCCTTCTCAGAAGGCAAGGGGCGGAGGAGGAGGAGGAGGAGGAGGAGGGCGGCGGCGCAGTGCAGACGACGGCGACAAGGCGGGAGCAATGACTGAAGAGAGGTGGAGGAGAAAGGATGAGGGGGGGAGGGGGAGCGGCAGCAGCGGGACGAGGAGGAAGAGGAGGATGAGGAGGAGGGGCCGGATGGGGGGCTTTGGGCAGGGTGAGAGAACCTTGCGCCTTCCCCCTTGGCGCGGCGCGTGTCGGCCACGCCGGGGGGGGGGCACCGATGCCCGTCCTGACAAGGGCCAGGGCCGCCACTGCCAGCCGCTCGCCTCAGCAACACTGTCACAACTGACGTGGGTTGGGTGGACCACGCCACACCGCCCTCACACGCGTGGCCGCCGCCGCGGAGTGCACAAACCTCCCCCGCTCCCGGGAGACCCCCGCGAGAAGCGGCCGCCAGCCCTTCGCTCGGGAACCCTACGCCTGCTCCGCAGGTGAAGATCTCCGTCGGAGGACTGATGGACGCCCTCAGGGGGTTCTTGTGGGCATGGGGAGAGGCCCGTGCGCCTTCCGCCCGGGCGAGAGCGGCTACACGGTGAGCATCCCACCTCGACACTCTTCCTGCCCTCTATTTGGTCAAGGGTCTCCTACCCCCATCTCCTTCCTCGCTCGTCACTTCACCGGTCGATTTTCCTCACCAATCATCTCGAGCCCCGACCAAACGGTCGCGAGGCAACTAGTTTGATCTTCCCCTCAGAGACGGCCAGCCGTTGGGGGGGATGGCAACGTCAGGATGACTTAACGGCCGATGGAGAGAGAGAGAGAGAGGAGGAGGAGGAGGAGGAGGAGGAGGAAGAAGAGGAGGAGGGGCAGGGGAAGGGAGAGATGGAACGGTCGAGCTTGGTGCGCTCGCGCCACATCGGACATCCTACCCCTCCTCATCCACCCTCCTCCTCCTCCTCCTCCTCCTCCTCGTCCCGCTGCTGCCGCTCCCCCTCCCCTCCTCATCCTTTCTCCTCCACCTCTCTTCAGTCATTGCTCCCGCCTCGCCGCCGTCGTCTGCAATGCGCCGCCGCCCTCCTCCTCCTCCTCCTCCTCCTCCTCCTCCTCCTCCTCCTCCTCCGCCCCTTGCCCTCTGAGAAGGCCGCCCTCCTCTCCTCCTCTCCTCCTCCTCCTCCTCCTCCTCCTCCTCGTCCGCCTCCTCTCTCCTCCTCCTCCTCCTCCTCCTCCTCCTCCTCCTCCTCCTCCCTCCTCCTCCTCCTCCACCTCCTCCTCCTCCCTCCTCCTCCTCCTCCTCCTCCTCCTCCTCCTCCTCCTCCTCCTCCTCCTCCTCCTCCTCCTCCTCCTCCTCCCCCCTCGTCCTCCTTCTCCCCCTCCTCCTCCTCCTCCTCCTCCTCTCCTCCTCCTCCTCCTCCTCCTCCTCCTCCTCCTCCTCCTCCTCCTCCTCCTCCTCCTCCTCCTCCTCCTCCTCCTCCTCCTCCTCCTCCTCCCCTCCTCCTCCTCCTCCTCCTCCTCCTCCCTCCTCCTCCTCCTCCTCCTCCTCCTCCTCCTACTCCTCTCCCCCTCCTCCCTCCCATCCCTTCCCATCGCGCTGAATTTTGCCCGATCCACCAACATGTGTCATAAGCGGACCTGGAACACACAAACAGACCCCGTCGTGTTGCGGGCAATCTGGATAGAAAGGCTGTGCACATTGGAGGAGGAGGAGGAGGAGGAGGAGGAGGAGGAGGAGGAGGAGGAGGAGGAGGAGGGGGAGAAGGAGGAGGAGGGCAAGGAGGAACTGCAGCAGCAAGAGCAGGAGGAGCGGCAGGAGCAGGAGGACCAGGGGGGGTGGGAGGGGAAATGAGGAGGGCGACCACGGCGAGGCGCATCAACCGGATCCCCAAAAGCGTGGCTTACGCTGGGGCGAGAGAGCGCCATCCCGAACGACGGGAGCACCGCGCCGATCCTAAGAGGAGGCCACCGCTGCCGCAGGAACGACATGTTTGGGATGGGCCGAAGACGCTCGGATCGGAACAAACCACGCAGAGAGAAAGCAACTCGGCGCCATCCCGTGCGCGTGTAGGGAGCAGTGCACGCGAAGAGGGGCGCGCCGCTCTCTCGGGCCGCCTCTTCGGGGGAAAGAGAGAGAGGTAAACAGTGATGCATCGAGCAGGTGTAGAAAGGAGTAGGAGACGAGGAGGAAGGATAAGGGAGAAAAGAGCGGGGAGACATGGGGGCGCCAGGAGACGAGGCGAGCGGCAGTGGCAAACGATGGGGAAGAGGAGAGGAGGGGAACAGAGGAACGGACCGAGCGCACCCAGGTGCGTTGTTCGGGCGATGCCAAGTGCATTCTAGCCCTGACTAAGAGCGGCGCTTGCAGCGGCAGGCGCAGAGGCAGCTGAAACTTCTTCCACGGCCATGCCGTGGGTAGCTGCGCGCAGGAACTTGGTGAGGCCATCGCGCCCAGCGTGGGCGCGCGTGTACTCTCCTTTGTCTACTTTGGCGAGATTCTCTCGCCCTTTCTTGGTGATTCCCGTGCAGGGCGCGGCAAGGTGACGTGGGTCCTCGGTTGCCGTCTTGCCGCGCCCGCGGCAGAAGTACAGGCGGTACTTCTGCATGAAATGGAGCTTATGGCAGGCGTGCAGCTCGCGCCCATAAATGGTGATAGCGCCCTGTACTGGCACTATCTGGTCACTGGCTGACGGCAGAGGCGGCTGGTGGGTGCACGGCGTGGCACAGGCCTGGCGTACTTTACACATGCCTGTGGTGAGCCCGCAGCGGGAGCACAGGTACTTGCCCGCTCTGAGCTCCAAGGCGCGCTGGCTCGATTGCATGGCTAACTGCAGCTTGGCGAGGCGCGGGCCTCTGGCCTGCGAGGGTCGCTCCGCGACCCACGGATCAACTGCAAGCGTGTCAGCTAGGGCACGGCGCGCCCTCCTGCGGATGAGGGTGCACTGGGCATCGTGCAGGTCAGTGGGAGGGGCCTGTCCTACAAGCGCTGCCTCGTAAGACTGTTGGGCCGCTACACCTGCCCATGCAACGGCCGTCGCGTTGCCGATAGTGTGAAAGTATCGCACAGGGTCTGAGGCTAGGCCAGGTGACTCCTCGCTGTGTGAGGGCACCCAGATCACAGTGAGCTGACTAGTGCCACGTGCACGAATTGCTTTGGCAATTCGTGCCCACATGTCCTGATTTGCGCCATCGCTGGGGCGCAAGTGTCGATTCGTCCGCCATCCGTCGTACAGCGGCAGGTGGTCTGCAATGAAACAGAGGTCGCCCTTCCGGTGTTCTAGGGCGAGCGCGAAAGCTAGCAGCTCTGCACGGGGCACAGTTTGAAAGGGGCCCTCGAGGCCCGACACTATTCCTCCCAAGGGGACCCACTCCCCGAAGAGGCACTTCATAGCAGCACAGGCGGTCCCCACTCTTCGGCGACGTGGGTCATCACTGTACTGACCTCCGGAACCGTCTCCGAAGAGAGCGAGGGCGCCGTCGCTACTGACGCAGCCCCCCCAATCCCGCCCAACCCAGCTCCACCCGCCGCCCCCCCCCCCAATGAAGCAAAGAGCGGGTGCGTGTCAGCGCGCGCAGGCAGGCCACGGAGCCAGTAGGCGGGAGCAGCCTCTGCTCCAGCCAGGGCAGAGGGCAACAGGGCGTCAGAATCCGCGTAGTCCTCGTGGTCGCGGTTGCAGGGGCACAGCCAGACCCTGCGCATGAGCGTCTCGTCGGCCTCTCCGCATCTCGGACAAGTTGGAATAGCGTTGCACCCCGTCTCGATGAGTCGGCTTCTGGGCCATTGCGCCCCCGCGACCGCGCACAGGTTGAGGGCCGACTGGTCGTACTGGCCCTTCCTCGTGAACTTCTCCATCTCGTTGGCAACTATGTGGGCGTCTGGGCCCCCACGTTGCAATCCTTCTCCATGTGGATGTTTGGCAGCGTCCTTCCAGAGGCTCCTCTCGAGGGACAGGCAGAACTCGTGGACGAACTCCGCAGGGTCCACGTCGTAGCGCTTGTCCTCCCAGTCGGCTTGTCCACTGTGAGGTAGCTGCCACTCCTGGGTATGGGTCTCGCCTGACCAGGGCGGTCGTGACCACTCCGTTGGCGTCGGGCAGGTCCAGCCAGCGTCCAGGAGGATGGCCTGGATGGCGGAGATGGGGCCCATGACCTTCCTCCACTTCTTACTGCCGCGCGTGATCGACTTATTGTAGATCAGCTTCCACGCCTGCGTGACCCGCATGTGGTGTTCTGGGTACTGCATCCATAAGTTGAGCCACTCGGCGATCGACTGGCGCCTGAGCTCGATGGCGGGGTCCTTCTCCCTCATGACGACGGCCAGGGCTGTGGAGAGACAGCGGCCAGGGACCTTCCCCGCAGAGGCCTGGATGGCCTGGCGCCTCTGGTCGAGGATGGCCGCTGGGGCGAGGCCCATTATCTGGCGGCCGTAGGTCCCCTGCGGCCTGGAGCCCGTGTTCCACGAGCCCTTCGCGATCTTGGCGAGGGAGGCGTGCTTCCTGACCTTGGCGACGATGCGGTGAGTGCGCCTCCTCGCAGTCTTGGCCCTCTTGGTGGCCTTGGCCACGACCCGTCTCTTGGCGCCGCCCACG